CTGGCCCGTGTCGTGGATGCAGTGCTGGAGCAGGAGGAAAACTGAGTCTGTCGCCTGTGAAACAGGTCTAGCCCCGTCTCTACCTGCTGCTGGGGTATTTCTAAGCTATAAGCCTGTGAATACTATGTGTGGAAGATTTGTGCTTGTCTTGTTCAGCCCGCCTGTGGCTCCGAAAGCGATATAACATTAGCAGAAAGGAAAGAAGATGAACACATGATAAATTGTTTATTTTAAATTTTAACTTTTAACAGTTAGGTTAATTGGTACTCTCCAATTAACCTAACGTTTCATCAGCAGTACTGTGTGACTTGTACATTGGAGCATGCGAAAATGCTACCCTTCTTAGTGCATGCTTGTGTGTTCTTTAGACAAGGGGATAATGCGCTCCAGACCAGGTACTTTTATCCAGCAGCAGTTGCAAGTTTCAGAGAAGGTCAACTGGCCCCCGATTGCCTGAATTGTATGAGCGAGCGAAGTTGCATTAACGAGAGGCGCCAGGCTGTGCCACTGTGCAGCCCAGCAGTAATTAGTTAAGCACAGTATTCAGCATTACCGTATATTCACCCTGCTGAAAGGTCCCCGGAGGGGTCCTATTGATGACTGACAGGTGCATGGGAGGAAGGTGTCAGGCGAGAGAGAGAGGCGAAACCAGAGACCAGCGACAGCCTCTGGCTCCGGGTTATCCTGTTCCCGGGGTCAAACACCAAAGCAAGTTCAACACCCTTCTGCAGAAACGGAGCTGTGCCCCACCAGTGATCACTGGATTCTCCCCACTGGGCTGTGTCGGAAAGCAGCGCGCTCGTCCAGGACTGGGCCGTCTGAAGAATCTGTGCGTCTTCTGCCGGACGAGAGTTATTTTGAGGGATTCTTTGTTCTTTAAGCTCCAGAGATTTGCTGCAGGGCTTTCTCGCAGCGTTAGTCAGTGTTATCGCTGAAAAAGATTGTGTTGGTTTTGTTGAGAGAGATGATGGAAGTCCAGCAGTTTGCCTTAGTTGTGCCTTTGTACAACTGTAGAGGAACAGTACTGACCAGCTACTGCAAACAGCTTTTGACTGTGTTTTAGGCACGCAGACACAATGTGGCTCTTGATCTCAAAGAAGTCCAAATGAATACATCTGTTCTACGCCGTTACTAGTTATTTTTGACTTCAGTTCCAATCAGTTCCAATTTGAGCCTTTGCCACCCCTGTCTTAATTCACAACTCGCAGAATTAGAAACACTGTGTAAGTTTGGTTTCATTTAACATTCCTGGGGGTTTTATGAGCGGATGTGTAGAATTATGGGTAGGATACTAAAGGCAAAGCCAGTTAGTTACATTCTGTGCGACAAAGAAAAAAAAAACAGCAAGTGTGTAGTTTTCTCTCCAGCGAGCTCAGGTTCTTGTGTAATGTGGGCTGCAGGCGGACCGAAACTTCTGACCTGCAATTATCCCATCTTAATAGGGGAGCAGAGCTCCCCACAAATCAAGGTGCACAATTCTGTCTGCTGCACCAGGCTGGACAGGCTTATTGCTCCCAGCTGCAAAATGGATGTCAAGTGCCAGCCAAAGAAGACATGTGAAAGCCTAGATAAAGCAGAAACCCTAAAAAAGCATGAAACTACTGAAATAAGCGTGGTAACGACTTGGTCTGCTTTTACCTTGAGCACCAAGCCGCAGATGTGCGCTGCCTTCTTCTATAATCCAGGATTTGGAGATTCCCAGAGACACTTTAAATGGTAGCAGGCTAGCAATCAGGTCAGTGTGACCACTCAGACACCTCCTAGCAGATACGAAGAACCTGTGTCAAGTTTGCTTATTAGGAGTGAAGCTCTGGCGATAAGTATAGCAGAACACCGTATAGACTATCTGACTCTGAGGTTTACTGGCAGTTTAGCTGTAGTCGTGTTCAAGTGATTAAGCACTCTCTTAAGATTTCCTTGTTTTAATCTCTGTGATGGTGTTTCCTTGCGTCAGGATCTTGCTTATCGAGTATGAGTTTTTAGGCAGTACTTTTCTTCTCTGACGGTAGAACTCTAAGGTTAATATTAATTATCAAAAGGAAACATATTTAGCTAATAAGAACGTTTTGAAAGTTAGCAAGTCATAAACACCCCTTTGCTTGTGGAGTTTAATTGTTCTTGCGGTAGAAAATAAATACTGTTGCAAGTGGTTGCTTCTGAAGAAATTAAACAATTCCCACAAGTATAGAAAAACACTATTTCTTTTCCTGGCCTTGGTTTTATAACCTGAAAGCCTCAGTGTGTAATTTGAATGAGATAGGAATTATACCAACTTTATATTGGAGAGCCATGACAAAATGATTCCAGTTATTAACTCATATGCTGTGTTTCAAGATGATTTTCCATTTTATTCTCCAAATTTTATCAGACAAAAAAAATACTTATGGTTGTTTGTGCGCAATGGAATTCGGCCTCTCATCCCATAAGCGTAGAGTCTTTTCTTTAAATGTAATATCTTTTTTTTAAATAACATCTTTTGTTAAAAATGTAAACACATAATTTTTAAAAAATATAATCTTAAGTAATGCTGGTTGTTTAGACAGTGGACGCCTCATATTCCCAAATCATTGCTGTCCAGCTCGATCCGCTGCACCCATTGTTCCAGATCCCAGAGAAATGTTGCTCTTGACTTATGGATAAATAGAGGGACCCCCATTCCCATCAGGAGCAATCCATCACCTTCCACCAGAGCACAGCCAGAGAGGGGAAAATATGATTGAGAGAAATCGCTGTTTGGGGCTGATTCCTACAGAAAAATGTCAGTCAGGATTTTGAGGAAACGTGCAGTGAGCAGCTAAATGTGGGTTTTAAAGTACACTGCATGTGAAATGACTGACGTTACTTTCTCGCGATAACAGCTCAAGGTAACTAAAACCAGCAGATGCACTTGGTGACATTTGCTGTCACTTCTGCAGTAATAATTCATTAGCCATAACATTTTTAATGTCAAACAGTATTCTGTGTGTTTATGCACCCCCCTCGTGAAGCTCCCCTATCGGGAAGACCAGCAATTATCACCTTGGAGGAATCTGGGATCCCTGTGCTAAATTCCCTTTGACCTCTACAAAAGGTCAAGAGATGCCTGTCTCACCAGGATGCCGATAGAAGCCTTGCACTGCGCCTTCAGTAGTTAGATTACTGGGAAACTGTTAGCCAGCCAGCAGGCAGTAAAACCTGGTTCCAAAGCTAAACAGGATTTTGCATGGATATTTACAATGCAAATGGCATTTTTCTTAATTTGATTTACAGATACTCCCCAGGCCTCACACCTTGAAGACAGACGAGAGCCTGCTACTGTATATAGGCAGGCTCTTCACTCTGTATGAAATATGCTATTATTTTTCAAGGAGGTGTGTAAAGTTTTTTTTTCATTCTTTATTAGTTTTTCTATGCCACAAAATAGTCGCTAATATCTGTAACTTGGAAAATGTGAGCAAACAGCTTCATTTAGCGTGCTGCTTGGTCAATACCCATTGGGCTGATTTTAAGGGAGTTCCTAGAATTCAGTTTTGGGGATGTGAAGCATGGAACCAAATGAAAATATATATTTAATAATAATATAATATTTTATATTATTAAAACATTAAGGTCCCTAATACTATGACTGGGCTACTACCAATAATAAAAACAGGTTTTCTTGGTTTCTTGTTAAATAGAACATTATATTTTTATTTGGTTAAGGGAACCACATTTAAGAAAACTTAAAAAAAAATAAATGGGACCAGAGTACTTGCACTGAAAGCAGACTTGACTGGCGCAGTGAGCTGAAGTGCTCCAGTCAGTGTTGTGTGATTGCACGACGTAATGTGAATCACTGGGGTGCCATGCAGATACAGAGCGTTATGCATCTGTCACCAGCCTGAGCAATGATAAGTTACAAGATCGCATGGAGTCATAGGAGGCCTGGCTGTGTGTTAATTACCAGCAAATGTTTTGAGAAACTGCGTGGAGGGACTGACTTGCGCTCAGAGTTTGGAAAGCTTTTTGTGTTTCTGCAGTGGATGTCCACTCTCATGAAAGCAGCCACTCAGAAGCGCTTTGAACTATCCCAGTCAAAGTCTCTATCTAGACAGGGAAAAAAAAATGCTAAAGGTAAGAGATTTAGTCTGCAGAAACATCAAAGCCAGGCCCGCAAGTATGGAGAACAGGAAGGCAGCCCGAGAGCCCTGCTGCTTTGGAGTAATCTCGCTGGGGTACCACCGCTGAGGATAAGTCAAACCTCGGGACGCGACTTCAGTTAAATTAGAAATAAAATAATAATAATAAAGAATAAAGAAAGCAGGAGTTCAAATGGAGCCACTCCGTGCTTTAAACATCCCCAGATCTCCCCATTGTTATTTGCTTTAATCTGAGCGTGAAGTGAGCAGCACATACAGTGGTTACTTGAAAAAGAAAGTATGTCAACTTTGGAGAATGATGTATTGCTGGAGCTTGAAGAACTGTGGGTTGACACGGGAAGCGGTGGGGCTACCGGTGGTTTAGCTCCCGACCAGCTGTGCTTGAAAATGATCCTGCACCACGCAGGCCACAGGGCCTCTGCTGTCCCTGTCTTCAGCACAAAATCCTGCTTGTTTTTGTCGAAGGGGAAAATGAAAATGCAATGACTCAAGCATCTACTGTATGTCAACCAACTACAACTCTAAACACACCTTAGGTGATAATTGGTGGATAATTGGGGCCTTTGTCTCGAGGTGCTGTACGCATTTCTTCCTTGAGCAGTTTCATTTCGCCAGCTCAAAGTGTCGTTATTCTGAGAGACTTAGAGTTACGCTGTTGTGACATTTAACAAATGGAGAATGGGATAATATTGATGTGGTTCTTCTGCGCCCAGTGATGTTTAAAGACTAGGACAAGGGAAGAATGCTTCTGCTGCTGCCAGGTTTGGTTCTTAGTCTATGGCTGGGCTACAGAGCTGATGTACTTGTGGCAACATGGCTATTGCATTACAGTCACCACAAAGCTTGACAGCAGAATAATGATTTTCTGTTTTTTTTTTCCAGGAATTAAAACCCCATGCTGCACTGCACCAGTAAGAATCATTCAGTTCGGAAAGTGATGGGAGAGTCTTAATCAAGGTAAGAGCATATGACCTGAATTAAGTCCCCTTTGGCACTTTTTGCAACATATATTTTTGTTCTGCTGTTCTTGGTTATTGACTTTGGATTTTCATACTTTCACATATTGCATGTTGTCACCCCTATCTGTGTCCCATCAAAAATGGATTCACTTTGTCCCCAGCCTACCCCGGATATGAGCTGTATCAATCCTTTTTCAGGTCCACGTGGACCTTGTTAGTCTGAGGTTGTACTGCTTAAGCAGAACCTGTGGGTGATGACCCAGTGAGTTCAAACCATCGGATGTGCTCCATGGGGAGAGCCGAAAGAGCTGTCTTCAGTGAGGGGAGCTGCAGTTGCCTCCAAACATAGTCGCTTCCATCTCTTCATTAATGCTGTTTGCAGTGGAACGGGCACAAACTCTCCCGATCTCCATAGTTCTGGAATTGAAGTAAAATGCACCGGTCCCTCTCTCCCATTCCTAATTTAGCAGTTTGTTTCATCCTGAGTGTTTTGCAAACGATCGTTTAACAATGTGCAGTAAGTGTGTGCCGTTCCTGTTTCCTTTCACTGCTGTCGTTTGACTTGTCAGAGGCGGCGTTTTGCTCACATTAACTTCTACCTCACCTCCTGCTATAATGACCTCATCTTGGAGTGGCCCAGACACGCAGTTTGGTTTCTTATGAGTTTGCAGCTGATTAATACTGCACAGTAATTAACTCTGCTATGAATGCAGTCACCCTTGAAGAGGATGGCTTTATATATTTTGACAAACTGAAGAACCGCTAGAGTGTTATTAGATCACTGCACCGTGTTCGCTTAGTGCACGATGACAATTACTTTTTTTCCTCCGAATCGGTGGAAAGACCTCTACTGTGGACTCTTAAGTCTGAAACGGGAGTTTTTGTCTCAGTCTTATCTCGTCTTTATCTCATAACATTTTTCAATAAACTGCATATCTCTGCTTTGTTACTGTTCTCAGATTAACAGGGCTCTCCAGTGTATTGTTCTGTGGTGATCACCATTATTCTCAAGAACACTTGAACTTAATCATCGCCATGGTAACTGGAGCTCCAGCCAGGCCTTGTGCACTTGATCGGAAATGTAATTATGGTTGGCAGTGTTGACTATTTGGGATTTTTTAAGTGAAAGACCATGAAGCTTCTTTAATTGATGTGTCACTTGAAAGGTCAAATCTTTAGTCTCAGTTCTTCACTGTTTTCCGTATTGGATACAGAGGCAAACGTGAAAGTCATGAATGAGGTTCAAACCCAGACATCTTCAGAGTGTTTGGATCTCTTCCTCAGTTTCTTTGTTTGGTTAGTTGAAGGAGATTTTTCACTTACATGCAGCCATACAAGAATAAATCACGACGTGGCTTTTTTAGCATGGGATCTGAACGTTTCCTTTTTTTAATTGCTCTCTGCGATTTTGAAACGAGGTCAATAAAAGACATTTAAGGAGTGGTAACTCCAAACTGCTTTGGCACGAGTGCAGTTATTTTAGGATATCATGATACGATACAGATTTACTGACAGGGGAAAGTTATTTTTTTCCGGTTTGGGGACTGATTTTAAATCCTAACATGTTGTCCTCACGTGAGGGTGACCTCAGCAGGCTGTGGTAAACACCGGATCACCATGAGCTGCAGTTCTTGGCAAAAGTGACATTTCTAGATTTCTTACAGTAGGTGGAATGAAGAGAAATGTTGCTACAGTTGCCACAGACTTCAGTCCCATTTCGTATCTGTTAGTAACTTGGATGTTATATGTATACGTTGGACCACTTTGTACTTAATAACATTTTTTTCTGCCTCTAACAATTAAAATTTGCATGAAGTCATAGTTCGTTATACAGAGTCGCACTTCCTTCCTTGGACACACCACGATAAAGACCTGGAGAGGAAAGTGCAGAGCTCGGAGAGCCTTGTGGAATGTGCTGGCCGTGCATCTTGGTGCTGATATTCCAAATAAAACCCCCCTTGCTTGCATTCGTCTGCTGCGTTCAAACGAAATCGTTCTCCATTGTAGGCCTGCATAAGGGGAGAACAGGGAGGGGGGGAAGGGCTGGGAGAAAAAAAAAGATTCCTGCTTCATTATTTCAAATCTATAATCATCCCCTCGAGCCTCCATCTGTCAGCCCGGTAGGGTTAAATTTGGTTGGCCTTGACATGCTATAGAGGCGCACCGTTCAAATGCTTACAAGGACAAGGTCACCATTCCCAATGTTTGAGCATTCTCACACATTCCACTGCTGTTGGGCTATTTGCCTGGCTAGATGGTCTGCTAGCTTAGCACAAAAGATGGACCACATTTCCTTGCCTTTGTACCCGAGTGAATAGAGACCTTAGGAAACCCAAGCTCAATAAGGCATTTGAAAATTTGTTAATTACAAGCTAAACACACTCTGTGCTCCAGCCAAGTGCGGTTTCTTGGTGAGGGAGCCTCCGTGCAGTATTTCCTACGATTTCATATAGTGATGTTATGAATAGAAATCAGGGAAGAAGAGGTATATGGTGATCTAGCATGAAAATAAATCTTGGCGAATAAGTGCAGATGAAATGTCCTAAAGGAGGTTTTTGTAACATGGTGTGAAGAACTTCTTGACATACTGATTTTAAAATTTAGGTTGCAGCGGATTATTTTGTTAGTGGAAAATAAAAACCTCCACGTGATGACTGTGGGTTTTTTACTGTGACATATCCTAAGATCCATGAGAAGTGCTTTTTTTGAGTAGTGTAATCTCCCATTTTGTATTTAGATGTTTTCTGTTGCTCTTCTGACAAGGCTCTAGACTGACACCGAAGAAGCCGATCTAATAGAAAAGTAGATTATCTAGATTTCAGAACGACCTTAGAGCATCTTGGCTTTTAATTTGTTCATGCTCGTTTACAATCGTCAGGATGCAGGAACGTGGGAATTGGACCATGTTTTTGTGGCTTATAAAGTAATTGATTTGGAATCACAATTCAGTGCAGAGAGAGATGCAGTGTGAAAGAAAAGTGTGAAGATAAATGCATTTTATAACCAAGAATACGTTTAGCCTTGCTGTGTAAAGAAAAACAAACAAACATGCCCGAAAAAGCCTTGTGAGTTCCCTGGCCCTTCTTTAAAGAAGGGTAGAGTCTACCCTTTGTGGGCATTGTTCCTTTAGAGACCTCTTCAATGATTGTTTGTGTGGGCGCGCGTGTGAACTTGTGAATGAGCTCGTGTTTCCAATAGGAGGGATGCACTCAGAGCCGCGCGCATCTCGCGATCTGTCAATGGTGCTCCCCAAACTGGGACATGGGCGGGCTGGTGGGGGTGGGGGTGGCGGCGCTGGGGGGGTCCTTGGAAAAACACTGTCTCATCAGAACTTGCCCCCCTCCTCCCCTACAGCCAGAAGAAAGGACACGTCTGTGACAGGTCTGGGGAGGCTGGCTGAGGCCTGCAAGGCAAAGCTTGTTTCCTGCCCCAGCGAGAACACAATCAGTGCTAGCAGCTCATCTCAAGGGCAGCGTCTCATTTCAGTGACATGTGAAATTATGTTGAATCTCTCAAGTCAGTATCGTGCACCACGATGCTCCACGTGGCGATCAAACCTCCAGTACCGGGAGAAAGGCGGAGAGAGAGCTTGTTCTGGACGTTATCCTTACAGGTGCTGGGAAAGCTGTGTGTGCGTGGGCTAGCTGTAACACTGTTGAGCCTCTGATCCTTGGATACGATTACCTTACCAATTTTAAAATACTAATTTATGTTTTGTGTATTGAGACAGCACAGCTAGACAAAGCTTGTTTCAGACTCTCACCACCCTTTGCTTAAAGAAATAATTCCTGTTCTCGTTTCTAAATGCGCTTTCATGTAGTTCCCTCTTGTGATACTCAGGTTGATGTTACACTGTTGATTCTGAAGAGGTTCAGTTGACATTATCAGTGTCTTGGAGTGCTGTGAAAACGTGGATCAAGTCTCCTCATAGTCCTCTCTGTTCAAGGCTAAGAAGGTTCGGTTCTTGTAGCCTATCAGTGCAAGACTCTCTTTTAAATCACAACGTGTATGTGGTTGCTCTTCTCTGCACTGATTCCGAAGCAGCAATATCTTTCTTGTAACATGGTGGCCAAAATTGCACATGATCTTCAAAATGGAGCCTTGCTAATGCATTGCACACCATTGTGCACCATTAACATAACGCCTCTCGATCTAAATCCTGTTTGTGAATATATGTCTTTACATTTTGTTTGTTTTCTCATTGCTTCTCCACCTGGCCTGGAAGATGGAAATGTCAACTTAGCACTTAAATCTTTATTTCTTTACTTTTAGCCATTTAAGCTCAGAATGTCCCATGTTTTCTAATTTATCTGTGCTACCTGCACATAATACTTTCCACATGTCTACATTATTACATATCCTATATACAAACGCCAGTCTTGAATTTCCTCTGTTTTTTTGCATTACATTTGCTGCTTCTACAGTGTCTGCTAATCCTCCTACAGTATTTTGGAATCATCTCCGTATTTGAGTAGTCGCTGTCGGAGCTCCACACTGCTTTACAGCAGAGTCTGTTCTGAGTGGAGGTGATAGCCTGCCAACTCAGAGGTCACTGCTGAGCAGCAGGCAGAGTGTGCCCATGCTGGATCCAGCCCTCCCAACCTCAGCAATGCAGGGCTAATTATATTCCACTTCTTGGGGAGTTGCCGCAACAGTTGGCTAATGACATAGTGCAGACTTTTAGCTTGCAGTGGATGACAAGATTTGAGCTCCAGGGACCTCTGCTGGTTTAAACACTTAGAAGCCCCTATTCACAGCTCCGCAACAGGATGTGCCATAAATTAATTTCACCTAATCCAGCCTGGCTAGAGTCTGGCACTCATGCCAGCCTTCGGACACGTTGCTTGAGTGCAGCTATTAATCTCCGATTTCCACCACAAAAAAAAATTCAGAAAATGTCATTTTTTTCCAAAAACAAGGTAGTAAAAGATGATTCTCTGTCATATAGGTTGCAGAAGAAATTGTAAAAATTTTTTTTTTTAAATAACCTAATTTAAA